CACCATCTCCGGAAGACTTATCTTCTATCCCGGCATCTAAAATGGCGACGTCTGCAGATCTGCCTAACTCTGAAGTTCCCGACGGTGATGCACTCTTAAATAAAAATGATTTAAGAGAACTCCGAGAAGATCTACATGCATCCTTAATGAAATCGGTGACTGAACTTATTCAACCAATGCATAATAAACTCAGTGACCTCCAAAATAGCGGAAAATGCCTTGGAACTCTGCATAACTCTGCAGGAGGAGGTAAGAAAACTTCAAACTTTTGAATCATCAGCTTCTAATAGAATCTTGACTCTGGAAAACCGCTGGAGGCAAGAAAACCTTAAATTTCACGGTTTGGAAGAGGAGGTGGAAAAGAACAAAGATTTAGCTGCCTTCATTTCCACATGGCTGGTGCAATCATTAAATATGGAAGACGAAGTAGCCCCTGCCATAACAAAGGCTTACAGACTGGGTCCTTTGTTGAGAGCAAGTAAAGGGCGTCCGAGAGATATCTTAGCCCACTTTGTTTATCCAAGATCAAGAGAGAGAATCTTAAAGAAAGCCAGACTTAAAGGATATCTGTCGTTTAAAGACAAAAAAATCCTTGTTTTACTGGATTTGTCGACAGGCACCCTAGAAAAAAGGAAATCTTTAAAACTCTTTGCTAACAAGCTTTTCGAAGCAAAAGTGAGATTTCACTGGAGCTCAGCCTCTGATATAACAGTTTTTAGAAATGGTGAACAACATCAAGCTTCTGACAACACATCTGGAAAGGCACTTCTGAAACTTTGTGGAATCCAACTGTCTCAGGAAGAAGAACAACAACTTAAAGACTAACTTTTTCAGTGCCTCCCCTAACATAATGTCTGATACCTAGAGAACACATGGCATATTTATGCTAATGTACAGTTTGACTACTTTATACCTTTTCTGAACTAGTTAACACAATGTAAGGGTTCTATGCTAATTCTTATTTCTTATTTCAGTTTTTTAGATCTCTGCATCTTATCTCACCAGAAAGTAACCAACCTAGTTTTGAGTGCTCTTTAGCAAGGCAATGTTATAAATGTTTTAAAATATTGTCGCTTAAAGTGTTATGTTTATAGTAATGCTTGGCATTTCTATAAGTGATTTAACATGTTATTTTAAGACTCACTAATTTGGTGCCTAGAGGAAGTGCAGTTTAAACTTTAAGCACAGTTAGTTTTCCTACTGCAGGTCTGGTATTGAGTGTTATATTGTTAGGATTAAACTTTGCCTAACAGAACCCTTATAGTTGTTTTATATGTGAAACTTTAAAATTTATATTTTTTAATTAAATGATGATTTATATGAAAGTTAAATGATATTTATAAGACTTAAAGAAGGTAAGCACTTAAGTAAGTTTGTGCAGTTCAACTTTGTACTCCTTATTAACTAGACTATGTAGTTATATGCTCTGTAAGGAGGGGGGGGGTGAGGGTTACTAAAGTTGGAATTAAAAAAAAACCCATTTCCCCCAGTTGGTTACTGTTTCTAGGCAGGGAGACCTAGCCGTCACCCTTCTCTTCAACTGGTTAGGTTTGAAGAATTACTAGTTACATCCTAGATAGGGTTTTTTTAATGTATTGTGTTATAGGTATTGCTGGGAAGCAGTAACATAGTACTATAGCAATATAGGTATTTTCTGTAGAAAACTTGTTTTGATAGTTAGACAGTTTTACGCAGAATTTTGTACCATAGTATATTTTTTATTTTGGCATTCCTCTTGCCCTGTATATTTTCCCTTTCCCCTTTTCCTAGTTTTTTTCAAGGTAATAGTTCTGGTGTAAGTTACCTCAGTTAGGTAGTTAGCTACATTTATTAATACTGAATAGTTAAAACATCAAAAGCGACTCATCTTTACAAGATTACATCTTGGAATTGCAGGGGAATGAAAAACCCCATTAAAATGAAAAGAATTGCTAACACAATGTATAAGGAACGCCCTAATTTATTCAAGAAACTCATTTGAAAAAAACAGTTAAACAATTATTTAAATCTAAATGGTTTACTCAGTGTTTTCAGGCACCAGGTACATCTAAGGCCAGAGGCATTGCGATTTTGGTTTCTAAATCTACTCCATTCCAATGCCAACAGGTGAAAATAGACTCAAAAGGAAGGTATGTGTTTGTAAAAGGTTTATTAGATGGTTTAGCCACAACTGTAGCCTCCATATATGCTCCCAATCCAATTCAGATACCTTTTATTAAGGAAACTACAAATTTTGTCAGAATTTCAGTCAGGTCAAACTCTTCTGGCTGTGATTTGAACTACTTAGTAGACCCAAAGCTTGACAAAACTCATAAAATTACAGGCAAACATAAGAAAATCCTTAAACCTACAGAACTACAAGACATTTTTGAACATTTTCAACTGCCTGATACATGAAGGTCTTGTAACCTGGGAGATAAACAGTTCACTTATTATTCCTCGGTACACAGCACATACACTAGGATAGATTTTGTATTAACTTCAAAATCTTTATTGAATCAAATCAAGTCAACAGAAATGGGTCCTTGGATGATCTCTGACCACTCTTGGATAAATTGTACGTGGTCTAAGCATACTACTGATGGGAGAGGCCCTGAATGGTCATTGAATAAATTGCTCCTCCAGAATGAGGGTTTCTGTACTGAAGTTAAGAAATCAATAGAAGAATACTTCCAGTTTAACACCAATTGGGAGGTATCTTCTGACACGGTATGGGACGCGTGTCACAAAAAGGTATCACAATCTGGTGATGAAAACCCACATCCTCCAGTGGAACCTTCTCCACCTCAACAAATAGGGGATGATCTCCCAATATCCCCTTCTGAAGACGTCAAGTCTTATGGGGACTTTGTTAAGCAAATGGCCAATACACTGGCCCTGTCAACTGTCCAACTGCCTCCAGCAGTTATGGATTTGGTTTTCGACATCGTCCAGATGGACACCTTGACAGCCGTCGCTCTTCCCATGACTTCGGTCCTCTTGCAAATGGGTCATTCTGTACAGAGCTATAATGTCCTGCTGATGTGAAAGGAGGCGAGTGTCACATGCTGACACCAGACTGCAAAATCTGCTTATGGGCTGTGGCTCAGCGGAGGGCATCGTCTCAGGATGCAGAAGGTCCCAGGTTCAGTTCCCGGTACTTCCAGCTCAAAGGATCAGATAGCAGGTGATGTGAGAACCTGGGGAACTGCTGCTGGTCTGATCCAATATGAGGCAGGTTCATGTGTTAGTCATTGCGTTTTGCTCTGACCTAGATGGCCCAGGAGTGGCCCTCGCTGGTATTTGGGTGGGAGAGCACCAAGGAAGTCCAGGGTCGCTGGACAGAGACAGGCAATGGCAGCCCACCTCTCTGCTTGTCTCTGGCCTTCAAAACCCTACAGGGTTGCCATAAGTCAGCTGCAACTTGATGGCACTTTACGTACGTACATTAGTTGGGCACTTGGCCGCTTGCAGGAGTATCTTCTTCCATAATATGTGCAGGAGATTTCGTCTCTGAAAAAATGTCACTGAAAAGGAGGCTGTGTAATTTCCCCAAACAACACAGGAAATTCATAACTCCCCCCCTCCTCCAGTGACCCCGCTCTGTGCCCAGAGGAAGGGGGGGAAGGCAACCCCCCCAAATCTGGCCCATCTGGATAAAATGGAGGGGGAGGGAACACGAGCGCAGGCCTCTTTGGGTCCCCACGGGGGTGGGTGGGAATGGTGTATAAGTCCCTAAATAAGTCAAATACGTTCCAAGAGGTGATAGTTAAGGTGTCTTTAATAATATCTAAATCAAACTGTTAATAGGATTGAAGCTGGATCTAAATGAGTCTAAACGCAGTAGTTATTCCATAAACATTTTAGAAGTAGTGTCTAAATAATCATTCTTAATGAAGTATCAAAGATCAGTTTATGAACATAATTTTTTAAATATAACCCTCCAATAAAAGAACTATGTAACAACAGATAAAAGTGAGTCCAATGATTTTGAAAACGTCTCTTGATTATCGAAACTTTATAGAAGATGGTGCATTTTAAACACTGCCGTCAAGTCTCAGCTGACTTGTGGGGCTTTAGAAGGCCAAGCATGAACGGAGGTGGTTTGCCGTTACTTGCCGCTGGGTCACAATCCTGGGCTTCCTCGGTGGTCTCCCACCCCAGGGCCGGCCCCTGCTTAGCTTCCAAAACCTGATCAGATCAGGCATGTCCGGGTCAGGGCAATTTGAAACCTGACAAGGGGAATAACTGCTCCAGAGGGGGCAAAGTTGGAGCAGGGAAACAACAGGACCAAGCCCCCTCCAGTTTCTCCAGTGTTATTTGAAATCTCCCAAAGTGCCTTCTGAATCAGAAACGGTTCGTGGGCCACGTTTACCTCAGTGTGCCAGTCAAGGTAAACTTTCTGTAAACGTGGACTAGTGTAACCATGTATAAGGCATGACTTGAATTAAATTTTACTTTTACCATCTTATAAACGGTTCAGGGGAACTGCTTTGGTGGGGGTAGGAGTAATGAGAAGTTAAGCAACCGGTGTGCAGTCCTGGCAGCTTGGGGAAATAGATATACAACTCCAGGGCGTCTTCCATCCATCACCGTGACCCCGATGGATAATGGGACCAGAATTGATCTCTCGGGTTAGAACGGATAAAAGGAAGTCCTTCTTTACCCAAAGAGTGATTAACACTTGGAATTCACTGCCACAGGAGGTGGTGGCAGCTACAAGCATGGAGAGCTTCAAGAGGGAATTAGATAAGCATATGGAGCAGGGGTCCATCAGTGGCTATTAGCCACAAGGTATAGATAGGGGCTCTGGGGCAAGTGATGCTCTGTCTTCTTGGTGCCGGGGGGGGTCAACAGTGGGAGGGCTTCTAGTGTCCTGGACCCACTGGTGGACCTCCTGATGACACTGGTATTTCTGGCCACTGTGTGACAGAGTGTTGTACTGGACGGGCCTTTGGCCTGATCCAACATTGGCGTCTCTTATGTTCTTATGTTCTCCTGCCTCCTGGTTGCCCCCACAGGGTGGAGAACGCGTGCACGAAACTCGTCCAGGCGGCTCAGATGCTCCAGGCGGACCCCTATTCTGTACCTGCTCGTGATTATCTCATTGACGGCTCCAGAGGCATTCTTTCTGGGACATCCGACCTGCTGCTGACGTTTGATGAGGCAGAGGTAGGCTTTCAGAGGGCACCGGGGGGCCCAAAACTACCTGTTACGTTTTCAAGCCGAGTCAGGTTGGAGTTCCTCCAAAATGGGAAGGTGCAAAATGCAGTTCCAAATGGAGCAACACCCCCCCCCCCACGCACCCTGGTGTTGTTTTGGCTTGTGAAAATGGGGAGGGGGGGCAGGAACCTTCCTCCTCTCATGCGGCAGTCCCAAGCCGAATTGGCCCCCTGCAGGCCTTTAAAATGCCATTTCCTGCAGTCTCTCCCTGTATAAATGTGGAAAGCAAGTCAGGAACCTGGACACAACTCATTAGAAAATGTAGCTCATGGTTTGGCTCGAAGTGACATCTGGGCAGAAGCAGCTGGTTATTTTGAGTAAATACAAATTTCTGCTTCCCCAACATTGACTGCTTCCATAACCACTAACCTGTTGTCTGTTGTCACTCGCTGAAAGCCACATTTTGAAACTTCTCCTTTCAGATATGTGTGCTCTGAACACTTCCTTTCGCCTGCTGTGACAGAGATTTTGAAATATTTAGAACATTAGTACTCAACAAGTGTGGGCCCATGAGACTCACAGAGGGGACCCCCCCCCCCCCCACTGGGCCCAGCATGGCTGCCGGACTCCTCCTCCGACCACTGGAAGTAGCTGCATTCTCTGTGCTTGCACAAGGAATGCTATTTTACTTTAGGGGGAATTAAACCCACGTGTATTTTTTTAAGATTTAAAGTTTTCCTGCAAACTTGGGGGGGGGGGTGTCACCCAGATTTGCAGAAAAATCTGTTTTGGATCAATGTGGCCCAGATCCACAGGTATAGGTATCCACAGATGAGGGACACACACGAGAACTAGGTACATAGATGAAGAATCTTATTTTGGTAGTAACCTCTTACCAGCCAACAGCAAATTGATTTCCTAGTTTGCACTCTGCATTCGTGTTGCTTCTTTGCCTGTCGAATGAATACCAAAACAGGCCTCAGTAAATGCTGACTGTTCTCATCCAGAAGCAATGACTGAGCTCTTTCGAGAATTTAGTTGTGTGGAGGCTCAGAAGAGCTGCATGTATTAAAGCTAAGCCAGGAATATCTTTGGTTCTTGTTTTATGAGTGATTACTCTGCAGGCAATGTACCGTGCTTTATTAGTATCTTTCAGGATAATAGCTCTTGATATTATGGAGTTGTTAATTTGCCTGCAGGGAGCAGTTATGACTGTGATCTAACCTTCAGAGAAGCCTGATTGCTAAAATGCTTTCTCTCTGGTTGCGTCTTTGTGATTTGATGCCATCTTATGAAACTTGCACTGTCACACCTGAAATGCATTCCTGGGTATCTTCTGTGGCAGAAGAAAGAAGCAAGAACCTTCAGAGTTCTCAAGAGCCCAGAGTTTTTCCAGGCTCGAAAGCACAATGTTCTCTGCAGTACTGAAATTCATTTCACACTTTCTCATTGTTAGGCATTCTACTTGCATTGATTAGATGACAGTTATTTTAAATGCTTATGCCAGGGGTCCCCAATGTCAGACTCCAGGTCTAGTCAAGTTACTCTCAACAACACTCTCTTTGGCAGTGATATGTTTATTGAGTTATAAGCAAGATCCAGGTCATAACTACGCTGTGTTAGAACTGGAGACTTTGGCAGGTACAATATTCACATATATAGGTAATTCAAATGAATCCCCTCCTAATGGCCACTCATACATCCCATCCATCCATCCCGCCTAGCCATAGCAGTCCTACCCCCCCTTTCACCTGGGAGATATAAGATCCCATTATCCACACGAGCAAGCTGGCACCAGAAGTTTCAAGGACGTTCCTCTGGGAGAGGAGAGGCTTCTTTGGAAGACTCACGGCCTCTGAGATAGCCCCGTCACACACACTCCACACTCGCTCCCCCCCCACCTAAGGAATCCCCCCCCCCCGAGCAGGGCGATGTTTGACACCCAACCTTTTTGAGCCGGTGGGCACCTCGGGAATTCTGATACAGGGTGTTGGTGGTGGGCACAACCACAAAATGGCTGCCACTGCAGGTGGGGCCAACCATAAAATAGCCACCGTAGGAACCAGAACCCCCCCCCCCAATGCACGCGGAGAAGACCCAAGTGCAGGGGAGAAGAGGAGTGCGTTATAAGATACACTAGGAAAGAGCGAGAGGAAGTAAAACCAACACTGTGGAGGCAGCTGCTGCTGAAACAACATGATCTATTAATCCACACAGCCAACTGGATCTTGAGTGGCCATTCAGGAGGACTCCCACTGAGCCAGAGCCCCTTCCGGCCCCACCCACTCGGTAAACATGCTTGGTGGTGCCCAAGGGTGTCATGCTGGGGGCCCCTGGCTCATGCATTCATGGTTGCATAAAGGCAGAACTTGGCACAAAAGAGCATTGTGGGGAAAGTTGCCCCAGAGGCAACCTGGCACACACTTGTGGGCAGAAGTGCTGTTGGTTTCAGGGTGTGATCATACTGGGCAAGGGACCACCACTGCTGGATGGTCTTCCAAGTTAACAAAGCTTTGTTTTGTTTGTTTGTTTACGAAGTATGTTCCCCCAAGGAACTCAGGGCAGCGTGCATGGTTCTCTTTTCAGATTTATTTTCACAGCAGCCCTGTGAGGTGGGTGAGGCTGAGACCAGCCAAAGTCACCCAGCCAGCTTCCATGGCAGAGCAGGGTTTCAAACCTGGGTCTCCAAAATCCTAGTCTAGCACCCTAAAAGGCTGTGACACACTGCCACGTCATGAACGGAAGCTTTACATTCTAAAAAGGGGATGGCTTTGATGCACTTCCATTGCCCTACAAAAATTTGTCAGACTGCAGTGACAGTGCATTTGTACCTCTTCTACTGCATTTGAGAACATGCTTGTAAGCAGAGATGGCTCTTTTGCATGGCTTGCTTTTAAATTGATGAGCATTTTAAATGGAAGTTATTTTTACTTGCCATAATTACAGGAGTGAGTGTTCTTTTTTCCCCCCATCCTGTTTTCAAGGTCCGCAAAATCATCCGTGTCTGCAAAGGAATTCTCGAATACCTGACTGTGGCAGAGGTGGTGGAGACAATGGAGGACTTGGTGACGTACACAAAGAACTTGGGGCCAGGTTAGATGCCGCGGATCTCAAGGCTGTCCTTATGCGGCTTTTAAAAGTTCAGTGTTTGTTTCTCTCTCTCTGCTGAACTGTAGGTCTCATGTTCAGCCTTTGGCCTTTCCCGTTAAAATGTTCTTGGAGGGTGGAACTGGGAAAGACCTCTGCCTGAAGCCGTGCAGAGCTGCTACTCGGTAGAGGAGACCAGTGCTTCTCAGAGTTTTTGCAGTGGAACTCACTTTGAAAGTTACTCTACCTTTTGGCATACATCCAGGGGTCATTTCCTGCGGGAGCGCACAGGAGCGGAGCTCCGGCCGTAAGGAGCCCAGGGGGGCGGGCACATGCAACAAGCCCCACCCCCTGCTCCCAGCAACCCTCAGTCAGAGCAAGAAGCAGCCAGGTAAGTTGCAGAGCCCCACACCGGCCCACCTTCTGGTACAAGCTCTCCCTCCTCTGTGAGGGCAGATCTGCGTGTTCTCCCCCCCCCCCCCATAGCTAGCAATCCAAAACAGTCCAGTGGCACCTTTAAGGCCAAGGTTTATTCAGGTACGAGCTCTCCCTCCTGTGAGGGACAGATCTGCACGTCCCCCCCCCAATAGCTAGCAATCAAAAACAGTCCAGTGGCACCTTTAAGTCCAAGGTTTATTCAGGTACGAGCTCTCCCTCCTCTGCGAGGACAGATCTGCACGTTCCCCCCCCCCAAATAGCTAGCAATCCAAAACAGTCCAGTGGAGCCTGAGTGGTGGTCGGTGTTGCCTTCTGACACACTTCCGGTGATGTCGGGGTGTGGCATATGCGAATGAGTTATGCGAATGAGTTAGGCTAATATGCTCCTGGACCTCTTTTTCTACGAAATGACCCCTGGATACATCACCGCCGTCACTCTGGATGCCGGTAGTGACCAGGAGTGAGCTGAATGTACTGGGGTGAAGGGTCCTTTCCCAGTCACTGTGAGAAGAGGGACGCAGCGTCTCCTCTCCCAAGTAAAACTCTACATAGCTTGGGACCCCAGGGGATCTGAAGGACCCTCTTCTCCCGTATTTTCCTGCCTGGGAATTAAGGTCATGGGGGGAGGCCCTCCTGACTCTCCCACCAGTCAAAGATGCTTGTCTGGTGGGCACACGAGGGAGGGCCTTTTTGGTGGCAGCCCCACAATTATGGAACCGCCCCCCCTAGGGAAGTGCACCTGCCCCCCCTTTTGATCTTTAAGAGGCAACTAAAGACTGTTTTGTTTAGGACTGCATTTAATTAGATTGCAATTTCAAAATGTGGGTTTTATGTTTCTATTTTTTTTACGTATTTTATTAATATTACATGCCACCTTGAGCTCTGTCGGAAGAAAGGTGGCTCACACAGATTTTAAATAAATAACCAAATGCTTCAGCCTTGTAGCCAACTTTGCAAGAGAGTCACGATTCATAGTTCTGTGAGAATCACCACAGTAGACGATAATTGGCTAGATGGAATAGTTGTCCGACTGGGCCCTGGTGAGTCCTTGGAGGGGAGACCACCAAGGAAGTCCAGGGTTGCTACGCAGAGGCAGGCAAGGGCAGACCGCCTCTGCACCTCTCTTGCCTTTGAGAACAAATTAAGTGGAATCCAGTGACCTGGATAGAAGGGACAGCATGTAGCCTGTGGACTGTGGCATATAATAGACTATCTCTGTGTCTTGGTAAAACGTGTGGAAGGTCTTTGTGAGACACCTAGATGTGGCCTTATGCTATGGGGTGGTGTGAGAGAAGAACAGAAGCACACAGGTTGCCTCTGTTCTTAACGATATTTGTGTGTCATATCCTGCCACTGCAATTAGTCAGAGAGGTACTTTCTCTTTCCTTTGATGTAAGGCACCTCCGAGCATCCCAAGGAATAACTGTTGCAATCTCTGTTCCATTTGTTCCAGGACTTATTCTGGGCATAAAGCCATGGAATCATAAGTTATACTTCTCAAGGCTGAAGCTGTAGGTTTGCTAGGACAGTGGGGAAATGTATGTTTGCTGTTTTCACACAGGAGCCTAAAAGCAAACGCTCAGGCCTGCTGTGTCAAAACGTCCTAACCAGAGGTCATTTCGGGGGGGATCACGGGGGATCGCAGTTCCCCCGGGTGAGGTATGGGGGGCGGGGCACATGACGAAGCCCCGCCCCCTGCTTCCGGCCCTCATTCAGCCAGGAGGAGGCAGGAGAAGAGGGAGGGTAAGTTGCTTCCTCCCTGCCTCTCCCCACTCCTGCCTGCCTGGGGCCAGGGAGGGCCTTCCTTCGCGGGGCTTCCTTGCACTCCCGCCGGCCTTGCAGGTCCACCACCTCATGGGGCTCGGCAGTGGAGCTGCAAGGCCGCCGCTGGCGGCCGGGACCGTTGGGGGCGGGGTGTGTGGCCTTATGACACACTTCCGGTGATGTCAGGGGGTGTGGCATATGCTAATGAGTTATGCTAATGAGTTCCCCTAGCTCTTTTTCTACGAAACGACCCCTGGTCCTAACCGATGATTGAAAGTCCACAACGCAGACACAGTGGGAAATTTCAGGCTGATCACTGAGACTGAGGGTCAAAGTGGTGGCCATTTTTTTAGTCACATACTTGACCTGTTCATGTGCCAAGTGGAGGATGGGGGCACATCAAAAAGGGCGTGTGGGTGAACCATCTCTGCTTGCCTGTGGGTGGTGACTCACTTCAGGCTTCTATTCTCCCAATCAGACTCACTTCTAATAGTTCCCCTCACCTAGGTTTGACATTAAAATTTGGCCATCCACCACCTGGGGCGTGGCTGGCTCAGTGACAGAGCCTCTGCTTGGCATGCAGAAGGTCCCAAGTTCAGTCCCCGGCAGCATCTCCAGTTAAAAGGGTCGAGCAAGAGGTGATGGGAAAGACCTCCGCCTGGGACCCTGGAGAGCCCCTGCCAGTCAGAGCAGAAAGTCCTGACTTCGATAGACGGCATGAGGCAGCCTTCCTGTGTTCACTTTTGGGCTCTTTTTGTAGCAGGTACTCATTTGCATATTAAGCGACACACCCCTAATGTAGCCAATCCTCCAAGAGCTTACAGTAGCTCCTGTAAGAAGAGCTCTGTAAGCTCTTGGAGGATTGGCTACATTAGGGGGTGTGGCCTAATACGCAAAGGAGTTCCTGCTACAAAAAGAGCCCTGCGACCAGAACAGATGTGAATAAACAGATGTTGCTATTCATGACATGTCCAGCTTGACTATGAGAAATGGTTGGGGGGGGGATGTAATGTATGAATCACCCCCACGCCAGGAGGATTCAGAATGCCGCGTGGGAGACAGGAGTGGCAGGGGGAGGTGGAAGGGAGAGATGTTCCTTGGGTGGTGTGATACCGAGTTATCCTCTTCACCAAGAAGAAAGAAGAAGAGAAGAGATTGGATTTATACCCCGCCCTCCACTTGGAGTCTCAGAGCGGCTTACAAACTCCTCTCCCTTCCCCTCCCCACAACAGACACCCACAACAGAAAGAGCGAGGGATTCCCCCCCCCCACCAACCAAGGTGTAAGAATGTTGTATAAAACAGACAGATACAGAGGGAGATTTGAATGGGGTGGGAGTAAGACAAAACAGGGAGAGACAGAAAGACTGACACGTGTTGGCCAGGAAAAAAACCCTGTAAGGAGTTGTCTGCTGCAGTCGCTTCAGGCTTTCTGGGAAATCTCCAGGAAACCTTTTATTCTTTGTTTAATACAAGCAAGTACATATAACATCAGAAATATAGCTTAACTGGTACATGTGATAAAACTTACATAGCAAACAATGTAGACATGATATTAACAAAAAAAAAGTTTGATAAAGCATTAACATGAAACATCCCATGTAATGCATCAATACAGCAGGTTTTATAGTATCCAAAATTGAAGAATACTCAGGTTTAGTGGGTAAATAGTCCAGGAAGGGGAACCAGATCGAGGTAAATTTCCAATCAAACAATTCTGTAGCCTTAAAAGAAGAGAATCAGTAAGTTTGTCCATCAGACAGAAATCACAGACTTTATGTTGCCAGGCTGATAATGTAAGATGAGTATTATTTTTCCAGGATTGAGAATCGGTTCCTTATGAAGCAGGGCTGAAGGGCTAAATTGCCACGTACCTGACAATTATTCTGCATCAAGTGGTAGTTGGAAAGCAGTAATGTTATAGACGTGATTAACTATTGCCAAGAAACCTTGAACATGCGCACAGTCCCACCAACAGAGCCTCTACGAACCAATTTCACCACAAACCCTCCGGCACAGTGGGGATGTCAATGGGTGTATATGATGTAATTTTTGTGGCGTGCAGATACTTCTTAGTATCAAACCCCTTTAATTGGTTGTCCTATCCGGCCATTAGCTGTGAACTAGCAGGTGACTAGAATTGGCTTCCTGTCACTTCCAAAGGGGAAAAAACCACACACTTTTAAAACTTGTGCCGGGGGGGGGGGGTTCTCCACAACAAGCTTTGCTGGATCATCTGGATTTCTTTTTCATAATGATATGGTGATCTTCACACTGCTACCTTATTTAACATGACCTCCTCTGGCACAGCACTCAATAATATTTTGATCCCTGTCTCCTGAGAGATGTGCGGACGTTGGTTCAGAAAATAAATGTAATTGACGTACTAAACTGGGAATACACCAAGGCTAGCAGTATCAAGGAGTAGTCTTTTTACGGTATTGAAATACTTTCTGAGTAGACTCGATCACGTTTCAGTCTGATGCACGCTTTTCAACGTAGGCAGTTGAAATAGCCCCTTTCTGTACTTATGAAGACACAGGAAAGCTGTCACTGATCCATTTAGCCAGGTCAGTTCTGGCTGGCACCATGTCTCCAAGGAGAGGAGGTCTTTCCAAATCGTGCTGAATGAGATCTTTTTAATCAAAGACACCCGGGATTGAATTTCGGGCCTTCAGTAGGCTTCCCGGAAGTGACATCACATCCCTCCCCCGGATCTCCCAGCATTCACCTAAGCAGTGTTGTTGTTCAGTCGCACAGTCGAGTCCGACTCTTCGCGACCCCATGGACCAGATCACGCCAGGCCTTCTGGTCTTCCGCCGTCCTCTGAAGTTTGCTCAACTTCATGTTCGTTGCATCGATGACACTGTCTAACCATCTCATCCTTTGCCGTCCCCGTCTTCTTTGACCTTCAGTCTTTCCCAGCATCAGGGTCTTCTTCTCCAGTGAGGGCTCCCTTCTCATTGGGTGGCCAAAGTATTTGAGCTTCAGTTTCAGGATCTCGCCTTCCAGGGAACAGTCAGGGTTGATTTCTTTTAGGATTGACTGATTTGATCTCCTTGCAGTCCAAGGGACTCTCAAGAGTCTTCTCCAGCACCATCATTCAAAAGAATCTATTCTTTGGCGCTCGGCCTTGTGTTGGGAGCTCTTAAATACAAGGTAGTTCAAGTTCTGCTCAACAGGGTGTGAGAAAGGGTAGGCCAAGATCTAAATAAATATCATTTCTTTTTGTGTTGGGGACATATTTTTCCATTTTCTGCCATTTTTTTTAATGGTAATAAGCCATAAGGCAAGTGATGCTCTGTCTTCTTGGTGCTTGCGGGGGTCAACAGTGGGAGGGCTTCTAATGTCCTGGCCCCACTGGTGGACCTCCTGATGGCACTGGTATTCCTGGCCACTGTGTGACACAGAGTGTTGGACTGGATGGGCCTTTGGCCTGATCCAACATTGGCGTCTCTTATGTTCTTATGTTATGTTCTAAGCCCAGAAAGAAGGGAGGCATAGAATAGCAATCCCCTCCATGTGCTTCGCTTATCTATGCTGGAAAGTGTGGCCGCCTCACCTACAGCCATGCCTTCCCAACCTCCCTTTTGTGTGATGTATAGAAAAGCACTGAGCAGCCATATAGTGCTCTGGAGTGTTCAGGCTCCTTGTGGATGTTATCTAATTGTAATCCTCACAAGAACACAATAAGGTAAGGCAGGGGTACTGCGGACGGAGAGGTGTTTCTGTGTGCCTCTTGACACAGGCTGCTTTTCCGCAAGCCAGTGGTTTTCTGCAAGCCAGTGTTTAATCAAATTTCCAAAGCGGGGAAGTAGCTTTTAAAGTATTTTGCTCCAAATGGCTGAGCTGGCAGTTTTCTCTTAAATTGCCTTCTAGCGTCTGTTCTTCAGTTGCCTTAAAAATAGTATCATTGAACATGGGAATATGCCAACATAGTGTATTTTCACTTAGAAAATGGTGATGGCTGTTTTGCAAATGCAGAAGGGTCCTTTTGTTAACCCTCTGGCTGTTGGGGGCGCAAAAATGTGTGTCAGGGGCTGTGTTACTTACTGCCTTTCCTCCTGTAGGGATGACCAAGATGGCGAAGATGATTGACGAGCGCCAGCAAGAGCTGACTCACCAGGAGCACAGGGTCATGTTGGTGAACTCCATGAACACGGTGAAGGAACTATTGCCAGTCCTCATTTCGGGTAACTTCGCTGTAGCAGCAACTTCCATGATTAAAAAGCTATAAATTTGTCATATGGCACATGCACATTTTTGATTAAAATCGTGCTAGGATAGATATTGCAGCACATCTTTCCAAAATGGAAGCTTTTAAAAATGTGGCTTGTAAGCTGAGTACAGATACTAAACATGTGGTTTTATTTGTGGCTGTCGAGTCCCTGTTTGCATACCATGCATGTCTCCTATTTACGTTCTGTGAGCTAAACTCATTGAGACATGTGAATGGTGGGGCTATTTATATGGGATTATATTTGCAATGCTTGCCTGTCATGGGGGCCTGTTTAATGTCTAGCTCTTGCTGAGATCCATGTCTGGGTTGTACTACTATGGGGGAAGACTCACATTCTTGATTCTCTTCTGTATAAAAATATTCCAGTGCATGGGAAACTAGGATGTCAAGGAGAAAGGTTTTAGTCTGGATTTTCCCTTGATATCTAGCTTTCTGTGCGTAGGGAGTCTTCCGTGCGTAGGGAGTCTTCTTGTTTCGTATGACAAAGCCGAAGCGATACATCCACAGGCTTGCCGCCACAATGAGAGTTTAGGCCTAAGGGAATATTCCAGAATATTCTCCTATCCCCATCACTCGGCTTGCAGTGGGGAAGCTACATGGTGGGCTGACCCATAAGGTTCTTGCTCATTTTCGGCCTTACGTGCTGTAGGCCCCCTACCCCCAGAACATCCACTTAACAAACAAGAAGTAGTAACTGTCCTCTGCAAGAGCCTCTTTGGAAAAAATCAAAACAGGCAGAGTTAAAATGCTTGCAGTTAAGGTAAATGTCACAGAGACTGTTGAAAGGGTCACATATAATGTCATCTTTTTGTTTGCCAGAATTAGGCTTGCTAAGTCCCCCCGGGGGGCGGGGAAACCCCCGCCCCAGAGGCCCGTTCCCCGCCGGCGGCGGATCGAGCCCCAGGGGGAACCCCACCCCGACATGTACATCACCTGGAAGTGACGCGACAACGCTGGGCACACTGGGGGCGGGGCCACGGTCATCCGAGGGAAAACTCTATGGTTTTCCCTCGGATGGTCGTGGCCCCGCCCCCAGCGTGCCTGGCATGGTCGCGTCACTTCCAAGTGACGAGGATGTGGTGCGCGTGCACTCCAGCCACCAGCCGGGAGTCCCCCGCTGCGGCGAAGATCGCACTTGGCAACCCTAGCCAGAATACAGATTTACTCTGAACGGTGTTCATTCATGTGTCTGTGGAGATGCCCCCCCTGGTTTCCCATGACCGGGTCTCTGCCAGGCCGGCCCCCCTCGTCTTCCGCTCTCCCCTCCCCTGCTTATCCCGGCAGAAACCCCGTGGGAGGCGGCTCAGGCTGCGGAGGAGGAGGGGCTGGCCCAAGGTCTCCTTCCGATCTTCACGGCATGAGGAGGGTCTGCTCTCCGCCAAGTTTAACACTCTGCACCCGATACACAGCACCGCCCATCAGGTCCACGGTGTAGTGGACAGCCCATTCAGCTGAAACCATTAAGAAAAACAAACACACCGGTGACAATAAATTATGACATCAGGAAAGCAGCAGGAGATGGCAGCAAAAACTGACGATAACGTCTTGATGGCCTGGAGGGAAAGAGGTGCTTCCGCTGTTCACCGCAGAGGGCCAAAGAAAGTGGATTTGGTTGGTTTCCTTGGTTAGGGTTTCCATTATGGTTTCCCATAATGATTCTCCGGAGCCAGTGTGGTGTAGTGGTTTGCACTGTGAGGCTAGGGTGCAAGGGACCTGGGTTTACACTGCCGGAGACCCTTGCTAGGTAAATTTGGGCCCATCACACAACCTCAGCCTAACCTGCCTCAGGGTTGTTATGAGAACCAGGGGAAAGGAGAACCAGGTACATACCCTGATGCTTGAAAGAAGGGTCTTTTATCCACCCTTTGGGGTTCAACACTAAACCAAAAGGAAGACACAAATTCAAGGGCTTAGCTGATACATAAGAGGGTGATTAAAAAAGCTCTAGGGAGATAAAGAAGGGGCTGCCACTGAAAAGTCTATGTTTCTAGAGTGGGCCGGCTTTAATTTCAAATGGTGGTGGCAGTTGCGTGTGGAATTTCTTAATCTCTGTAGGGGGAGGGGGAGGAAAGGTGTCCCCTCAAATATTCTGAACCCAGTCTGTCCCAAGACTAGAGGTATGATTAAAACAAAATTTTTGAGACACGCCTGGCCAGAGTTTTCAAGCGTTCCATGTGATGCTTTTTAGAGGCACTAAGACAGTAAAAGGTAAAGGTAAACGGTTTCCCTTGCTCAAAAGCCAGTCGAGTCCGACTCTGGGGTTGCGGTGCTCATCTCCGTTTCAAAGCCGAAGAGCCAGCACTGTCTGAAGACGTTTCCATGGTCATGTGGCCGGCATGACTAAACACCAAGGCGCACGGAACGCTGTTCCCTTCCCACCAAAGTGGTCCCTATTTATCTACTTGCAATTTCTTGCTTTCGGACTGCTAGGTTGGCAGGAGCTGGAACTAGAGACGGGAGCTCACTCCGTCATGCGGCACACTCAGGTCTCGAACTGCTGAACTACCGACCTTCCACAGCCTGCAGTTCAGCATCTTAACCACTTGAGCCACCGCAGCAGTAGTCAGATGTAATTTGATAAGTGGATCCCATGCTCTCTTGCTGGAGAACAGCTCAGATGTGGGAAAGCAAAGAACTGCCCTCCACCCAAGACCTTCTAACGTATTGCGTGGGATAAGTTGGACACACCTCTTGGGACTGTGTTATGAGACATGTCCTGGGACAGCCCTACCTGGAGCGTAGCACCTTCCTTTTCATGCAAGCAACTTTCAGGATCCTGAAGAACTGCTGTGAAATTGCTGTGCCAGGAATGTGCCGTGATGACTATTTGGTACCATGTTATGGTGCTGCACTATGTTACCACTGCATGACTGGGCCATAGGTTTTGATGCAGCCCCACCCATTTGGGGCACTAATTTGTATAACAGTGTGTTTGTGGTGTGTTGGCATCAATTTTAGTAAGGCAGTAAAAGAAGACCCCTGAAACTAACACAGTGGCTAAGAAGTGTCCCCCCCCCCCCCATGAAACTGCCCTTTGTGGTTACTCTGATGCAAGTCTCAAATAATTAGGTAATCTGGAGTGGTTACGTTAGATGTGTACAATTAATTCGTAGTGAAAAAAACTCCAGACTTCTTTGTTAATTCCACTCTACTGCAAATGTTGCTTCTTTTGCCTGGTTCTATGCAGTGAGCATCTCTTAGCTAGCACATCTTCTGTCTTCCTGATAGGCATTTCTAATCTGCCCTGTAATCTTCGCAGCTATGAAGATTTTTGTAACGACTAAAAATTCCAAAAGCCAAGGAATAGAAGAGGCCTTGAAGAACCGCAACTTCACAGTGGAGAAGATGAGTGGCGAAATAAACGAAATAATCCGTGTTTTGCAGCTCACGTCCTGGGATGAGGATGCTTGGGCCAGCAAGGTGGGCACACGTTCCGGTTGAGGACTCTGTTTTTTAAACAAAGAATTTTCAACAAGATCCGTTGCTCTTGTGTGCATCAGAAGATGATGCTATAAACAATTTGTGTGTCGTTTACCTTTTGAAAAAGAAACATGTTCAAGGTGGTGATAAGTAATTATTTATTTATTTATTTAAATTTATAACCCGCCCTCCCCGCGAACGGGCTCAGGGCGGCGTACAGATGGGGCCAATGCCCAATACATAAAACATGAAAACTGCATTTTAAAAACATTCAGTGCAACATAAGTGCTCTCCACAACAACTAACAAGGGAACCGATGACGTCATCAGGATGGTATCCTTAGGGGCCACAGCTCCACGCAGTACCACCATTTTTGCACTCACGGCGAGTTGGTAATAAGGGCTAGGGCAGATGGTAACAGTCGTGGCGGCTCCTACTCAAACGCCTGGCGGAAGAGCTCCGTCTTGCAGGCCCTGACATTGTCAGTGACGGGTAATTCTTTGTACTGAGAATATTCTACCAAGAATTGCTGTGCAAGCTTCATACTTTAAACCAGATAAATCTTATATTTTTCGGGGGGAAATGCATTACGTTTCACACAACCCCTGGAACGCTTTATTCAACTCAGGCAATTCTCCCAGCTCTGGAAGGCAGACTGTGCCATTGTATCACGGCCTGTACACTGTGGTTAGGGCTTGCATCCAAAAACCAAACTGGAGCCCTACTTCAAGCCATTTGTTTTTCGCCTTCTGCTATTGAAGGTGTCCACAGCTTGCTGCTTCAGATTGGTTAGTGCTAAAGAGGAACTGGAAGCCATGTGTGAGCTTGCAGCTCAGTGACTGGGGTGTCCTATTGCTTTTTGGGAGAACTGGCATCCCAGTAAGTGGTGGGTGGATGCCCTTAATTAGGAATGCATTTATTTGAAAGCAGTGGGGGCTTATTCCAGATGACCAAATCCAGGATGTATGGGGTACAAGTAAACTATATACAAAAGTCAGATCTCTTTTCATAAGGATCCCAGACAATCCATGTTTGGTGTAATATTTGGAGAGTAGATGTATGATTTCGCTGCGCTCCCTTTCTCTTTGGAGCGCATCTATAGCAGCATTGGGGGAGGGGGGTGGGAAGAGTGCTCTTTCCCAAAGCATGTGTAGAGTTCCTCGCAAAAGTGCAGAATCCATCTTTAGCCATTCTCTGAAGAGTGTTCTGTTGCTTAACTACGCAGAGCACTCACAGATTCAGAAATCTCACGTAACAAAAGTTAATACGTGGTGGCGAAAACGGGGGATGATGAAAAAGAGATGGGAGGGGGACAGGACTGGCCCCCCCCCCCCCAAGCTCTTCCTCCAGTTAGGGGTCAGGTTATCCCAGGAACCGAAGGTGGATAAATGCCAGATAAGGCCGTGTCGCCGAGCCCTGCGTCATCCTCTCTGCAGTCTCCACTTCTTCAGCTCCTGGAAAATAGGACGGACTTCTTTCCCCCAGAGACTTGTTGGGAATGAAGGCTCTTATTTTTAAAATATTTTTAATCTTTTTTTTTTTTTAAAGAATGAAGACTCTTGAAGAGTCTCAGACTTAAGTAGCCGTTGGATTGAGTATGGCGTTCTGTCCCTCTTCATCCTCGCCCGAGTTATTGAGACATAGTTCTGTTATCCTCCCTTCAAGGCTGAGAGAGGTCTTTCGATTGCAGCTCAAGACATGCCGTGAAATGATATGTGCATGCCTGCGCTCTCTCTTGCTCACCGAGACCCCGCGTCACGCCCTGCAGAGGGGCAGGCTCAGCTTCCTCTCCTCGGATTCACCTTCTGGGCTTAGCTCTGTGGGGCTGCTGGTGCTGACGTTGCCGAGAGAGGGAAGGCAGGGCCCATTCCCTACCGTGGCATAGTTCTGGCCGGCCCAACCCTTCAGGGCTGGGTCTCTGCAGATGTGGTGATGCCGTGAATGACGAGGAGTAGATGAAGCTGCCTTTTTAGTCAGGTGCGGTCCGTCTGTGAAGTCCGTTTGGACTTGCAGCTGCTCTCCGAGGAGCCAGTTTGGTGCAGTGGTTAAGTGCGCGGACTTTAATCTGGGAGAACCAGGTTTGATTCCCCACTCCTCCTCCACTTGCACCTGGCTGGATGGCCTTGGGCAAGCCGTAGTTCTGATAAGAGCTGTCCTTGGAAAAGAGCTCTCTCAGCCCCACCCACCTCACGGGGTGTCTGTTGTGGGGAGGGGAAGGGAAAGGAGGTTGTGAGCCGCTCCTCTGAGACTCCCTTGGGTAGTGAAGGCCCATGGGGTATAAATCCCATCTCCTCCTCCTCCTCTTTGCCAGGCTTCTCACCGGCTCTCCTGTCAACCAGGGACGCCCCCAAACCGAACCTTCTACTTGCACAGCAGATGCTCTCCCAGAGGCTTGTGGCCCTGCTCCCGGAGGGAACGCTTGCCAGGGGCTCTGTGGTGGTGGTGGTGGTGGTGGTGGAAAGTGCCGTCAGGTCATAGGTGACTTGTGGTGACCGGTAAGGTTCCCAAGGCATTCAGAGGTGGTTTCCCCTTCCCTGCCTCTGCATAGCAACCCTGGACTTCACTGGTGGTCTCCTGTCCAGGTACGAACCAGGGCCGACCCCGCGTGGCTTCCATGCTCTAACGAGATTGGGCTAGCCTAACGGATGTGTCAAAGGTCAGGCCAGACTGCCCGTCCCCTGGTTACACCTCTGACAGCCATTCATTACAGATTTGCTGCAACATCACTGGGAATGAACTAAAAATCACTTCCAGTGATCTATATTTTCCGCATGGGTCACCCTCCTGGAGAGGACATTGCACGTCATGCCACTGCTCAGGTTCAGACCTCTCTCTGAACGTGGGGTGCTCGGGCTCTGCTTATCGGGACAAACGAGCGGTCCGTCTTCTTGTGCCTTGCTCATGTTAGCTGTTTCCACACAATTCATTCTGTGGCATTTAAGTCTCTGTTGAACCCATCCCACTTTTCTGTGCTTTTATGCCCGTTCGCTTTTTATTGTGAAATGTGACTACATCTCATCATGCCTTTTCTGCGTCTTTGGGTTTTTCCCCCCTTCTGTGGTTCCGTTCCCCCTCTCGCCTTCAGAAGGTAAGCTCTCCTCCCCAGCCCGCAGCTGTGGTCTTTGTACTAAAACAGAAGAGCATGGCCTGGGGATGTTGTGCCGTGTGCGAGATGGCGTGTGGTGTGTATTTTGCTGTGCGTCCGAGGTAACGCTGCACCCCTTTCTGAAGGCGCAGGAATTAAAATGCACTGAAAGCATTGCCAGCGGCTCGGCTGCAAAGTATGGAGTCGTTGACGAGGTGCTGACAGCCATCCACACTATCCCTCGGCTTGCTAATGTGAACTTAATGACGGCAGGTTTTCCCTGGTGTGTGGGGAGGCCACGACTCTGCTGCTGCAGCTTACGAGCATCTGAACATTCAGAGGAGGCATTCATCTCCTCTTTTCTTTACACCTGAAGCAAAGACGATTTGATGAATGCCTCGGGTATTTTTAGCCAACACATCCTCTTCATTCCAACCTAAGAAAAGGGGGCAGGGGGGCTACGATTTATACAAATAGGTAGATTTTTATTTAACTGGGAGTCCTGGGCATCTTATAGTGTGAATACAAAACTGCCTGCCAGAGGCCGTGATCCAAGGGAGCCAGCTGTGTGTATGCTGGCCTTTGTAGATGCCCTTAACAGCTTTCTCGGGGCGGGGTGGGGGGACGACAGTTCACTGCAGCAGCAGGCAGCACTAAAGTACAGGTTGCATTTTAAAATCCATGCCAGGTTTGGAAGAATCTGGGACTTACTTGCATGCTTGCGTGTGTGTGTGGTCCCCTGCCTCAAGACAATTGCTTGACTTTGGTGGTTATACATTCCCCTCTCGGCTTCTCAAAACGGAGACCCTGATTCCAGTGACATCAGATGAGGTTCAAATGAGAGAACAGGGGGGCTGCTGAGAAAAGATGGCCTGGACGATTTGGCTGGCCGCTGCCTTCGTAGTTTGAAATCCTTGACCAGGACTGTAAATTGGGGCACCTTCTCATATTTGGAGCAATTCAAGGCCATTGCCCTGAAATAACGTTTGTGGCTGAAGATAGTTTCCATCGCCCCCCCCAAAGAAAAATTATCACAAGAATGTACATTGTGTGTGGTTATCAGTGATGCCTACCAACATGGGAGTCTATTTACGGCTGAGCTGCCAAGACATTTGTTCACTTGTAAATGTCCAGGGCTCTTTTTGTAGAAAAAGCCCAGCAGGAACTCATTAGCATAATAGGCCACACCCAACGGCCACACCCCGACAGCTCAGCTCATTAGCACATTAGGCCACACCCCCATGTTACCAGAACTGTGGTTATCCAGCCACACCCACCTTTTGCTTGTTATTCTGTTTACCTTGTTTGTTGTCAAAACCCAGGGCCTTTTTTTGTAGCAGGAACTCCTTTGCATGTTAGGCCACACACCCCTAATGTAGCCAATCCGAATGAGTTTCTGCTGTTGGGTGTGGCCTATTATGCTAATGAGTTCCTGCTGGGCGTGGCCAACTTGGGAGCCAGCCGGAACTGCGTTCCTGTGCGTTCCTGCCCAAAAATAGCCCTGAATGTGTCTTTCAGAAACGGGTGCTTGGAAGTTCCTGCTGCAGGGAATACGGAAGGAGGAGCTGGGGGAGAGGGAGTGGCCGTTTGCAGGGGGTTTATGGCCTCCTCTCTTGGGAAGATACGCCAGGTTTTGGCGGCCCTCTCTCTTGAGAAGTAAAACGTTGGCCCCTCTAGGCAGACCTTTTAAATGGGCAGATGTGAGTCCAGGAACAGCAGGGTTTTCAGGACAGGAGCTTCCAGGCGTCGAAGCTCTCTTGGCCAGATGCCCGTGTCTGCTGCAGGGACCCGTACCTGGCCAAGGGGGCTCCGTCTCTTGAAAGCTTGTGCCCGAAAACCTGGTTGGTCCTTCAGGTGTTCCTGGACTGGAATCCGGCTCTTCTGCACTGCAGACCGACACGGCTGCTGCCCCCGG